AAAAAAAAAAAAAAAGAAAGAAAGAAAACAGCACACTGTATCCCATGATTGCATTAATGTACACAGTTATGCTGTAAGAAATAATAAAGGAAATTTGAATGGGAAAAAAAGAAGAAAATGTGGAAAGGAAGATTAATGAGAGTGAGCTTGCTGTGTGAGAGTGCCACAGACATTACAGCATGTCAGATGTGAGTGAAGAGACCAACCTGTTTAGTAAAAAAAAAAAAAAAAAAGCAAAACCAAAAGTGTCCTAGGTCCTAGGCTAGCATTCATGTGCTCTAACCTAGATACAGAATTTTTCTAGGAAATGAATTACTGGGAAAAAAAATCCCTAAATTTTATTCTCTGTGCACAAAATATTGGCAGTGTCATTGAATGTGATCATTTTGTATCTTCTAGAGACAACAACAGATACAGAAACAAGCAGAAGTCTTTTTTTTTTTTTTTTTTTTTTTTTTTTAGTTTGACAGTTTTAGGGATTGATGAGTTCGGTCTGATTCTCCGCAGTTTGCTTGCTAAACAATTTCCAAATTGTTTTACCCTTTTACCTAGAAAAAGGGTAAATACTATTGACTAAATATTGAGAAAATGGGGCATAGATAAGGAAGGTTTCATGTGATTACACTGGCCAGTGAGACCCAAATGATGAATATTTGATTTAAGAATTGTATCCATTTATTGTTCAGAACGTATTTATAGTGCAAAAGAATTTAACAGACTTAGTGGCTATAGGTTGAAAGGTAGTGGTTCTTTTTCAATTTTTTCTTCAGCCAAGGACAAACTCCACACATGACAACAATTTTGTAACTGCTTTCTACTTATATGACATGCCCACATGAGATGCTCAAAAAAAGATAGAATAGCAGCTATTACCTGTTAAAAATGTTTCTCCACAATATCGCAAAGCAGGACCTACTGAAACCCAGTGATTACTTGCAGAGAAAGTAGTTTGTTTTCTGGGACCTGTTACTAAAATGACAAGCCTGCAGGGATGCAGGGGTGTTTATGTGACATTGCTCTAAGGATCCTCTTGTTTTCAATTCCAAGAAAGATGTTGTAATCAGCACACACACAGCGCATCTGAGATGCAGATGAAAATGCAGAGTTTACTTTGTTACTGTGAAAAAACTACATTGCATCAGTGCCTGATTTCCAGATTCAGGTTTGAAGAAACTGTGCAAAGTTTAGAGGTACTTTCTGACCTAATTTTTATGTTTCTGTCATTAAAAAAACTAAACAAAACAATAAAAAAAACCATTTATTTTCTTTTCTACTTTGCCGTGCTCTTCTCTGGACAGGCTTTTTACTTATCTTGTTTAAAAGATTGTGTCGGGGTTAACTCTTCCATCAGGGCCTTGTATGAAAAAGCCAGCTGAGAAAGACTAGACCCTCCTTGGTTTGATGGTTGCCAGTGTTTGTTTGTTTGTTTGTTTGTTTTTGCAGTTTTGGGCCAGGGCTGGGTTTGAACCCACCACCTCCAATATATGTGGCCAGTGCCCTACTCTTTTGAGCCACAGGCGCAGCCCAAGTTGCCAGTGTTTTGAAATGTCCAGCCAACCATCTGCAGCTACAAAGTCCCCACTGAGAAATTGGCAGGACGCAAAGAAATGGAAATCAACAAAGGAGTCGCTATGTTAAGCACAAGAGCTTCTGGCAGCCCAGCTGAAGGGAGACCATATCCTCCTCAGAAACCAGTTGAAAACAGAACTATTCACAATGAACAGGAAATTAAAAGCATGATGTAGTGGTGACCCAGAAGGAATGTGGATGCTTCTCCAGGACTCACAGACCCGTGGATGAACTGTGCTTCTAGATTTTACCTCCAGCTTCTCTGAGAGTAAGTGAACCTCTGCAATCATGGCTATTTTGCCTCTAGAAATACATAATCTGACCCTAGAAATAGAAACGCCAAACATTTGGGTGGAAACCACTAAGGGCAGTAAGTTACTCCAGGGTTGTTTTAACTTTTTAAATAGCATGAATATTTTACTTTGTATAACTAAATAACCAGTTAGAGAACCAAGATGGATGTTTTGACAAATTAGTACATATTACCTAATAGGCTGATGGGTAAATTGAAAGGAATGTAACTTGACGTTGCTTCTTTGCAAGTACAACCTATTTTCAAAGTTATTTGAATTAATTATTCTTTCTTGTTCATTTTAAATTTTACTGGCAGAGGAATTATAAGAATTAGATGCATGTATTTTGGCTTTTGAATTGCTTTCAACTGGCTTGTGAATATCCTTGAGAAAGCTTTGGCAAATACTTTTATCGATCTTGCTTAAATAATAATTATATAAGGATTTTGATCCAATTTGCTGAGCACTGCGTTTATTCTCTGAATAATAGGAATTCTATCCAAGAGAGACATGACTTGCTTTATATAATCAATTTATTATTTCCAAAATATACAATTTCCAATTCAGGGCGATTTAAGCCAACCAGATGTTTGTGCTATTATGGTGAGCAGTATTATTTTTCCCCTGATATTTACACCAGGATATTCCGTGGTTAAAAAAAAAAAAATCAATCTTAGTAGTCAGAAACAAATGAGCACATTCATGACAATTAGATTATGTAAATTTTTACTTATATTTTCCAGCGTATACATTAATTCACTGACAGAAAGGAGAGTAGTCATGGGCACTATGTTTAACCTTTCAGATACTGAGGTCTACCACCGTCTTGATTTCTTAGTTGAAAATTGTTGTAGCTTGGTTTGAGCCAGGGTTTCTGGGCTATTACAGCCTGCTCTGATGGCATTAGGACCAGGAACTCACCTGCCTTGCTGCTGAACCTCTTTGTTAATTTTTGGACAATTTTTTTTTCAGGGGGGGGACAGTCTCACTATGTCGCCCTGGGTAGAGTACCGAGGCGTCACAGCTCACAGCAACCTCCAACTCCTGGGCTTAAGCAATTCTCATGTCTCAGCCTTCTAAGTATCTGGAACTACAGATGCCTGCCACAATGCCTGGCTTTTTTTTTTTTTTTTTTTTTTTTTTTTTATTGCAGTTGTCGTTGTTTGGCAGGCCTGGGCTGGGTTCGAACTCGCCAACTCTGATGTATGTGGCTGGCACCGTAGCCACTGAGCTACATATGCTGAGCCATTTGGGGACAATTTTTAAACTTAAGTCCCTGCCTCCCTTTGTTCCATGAATGGGACACATCATAAAATGAACTTTTTCTGTCCTAAAGCCCTTGTCCCTTCTTGCAGTCTTGTTCTCAGTCCTAGAGTCTCAGACCCCATTTTTCCCTGCCTTGTATTAACTTTCCATTGCTGCTGTAGTAAATGGCCACAAACCTAATGTCTTATAACAAAGCAGATTTATCACCTTGCAGTTCTGGAGATGAGGAGTGAGGTGTTGGCAGGGCTGCACGCCTTTCTGGAGGCTGTAGGGGAGAAACTTTTCTTGACGTTTGCAGCTACTCAAGGCTCCTTGAGCTCTGTGGCTCATGGCTTTCTCCTCCAAAGCTGGCTACAGCAGCTCAAATCCTTCTTATATTTCTTCAGCTGGTCTCCCCACATGCCTCCCTGTTTCACTTTTTGGGACGTTTGTGTAACATATTTACAAGTTCCAGGATTAGAATGGGACCATCCCCTTTCCCTTTAACTCTTCCTTAACTTTCAGGAAATAAGTAGCAGTACAGCATCCTTTGCAATAAAGTGTGGTTAGGCTCCATCTCCGGCAGCACTCCCCGGGGGCTGCCTTGAGTAAGTCACCTTCCCATTTGAGCTGCCTCCTGAATACCAGAAGGGGTCAGTGTCTTCATGGCTTGTTTCTGCCCAGTGACTGAACCATGAACCTTGGAACCAGGAGCAACCTCATCACTAAAACCACTGCAGAGAAAATAGCCACCCTGTCATCTCCACCCCTTTTCAGTAAGTCACTAAAGGAGGACACCACTGCCTTGGAAAGCCAGGCCTTATCAGTCACCTGGGCAAGGCCAGCTGTATTGTATTGCTGAGTTCCGATTTGATTTTCTACCTGCTGGTCTATTTTCTTCCCTTAAAAGAACTTCTTCAAACATTTCTTGCAAAGCAGGCAGGCTTACTAGCAACAAATTCCCTTAATTTTTTTTTGTCTGAAAAATTCTTTATTATTTATCCTTTGTGGATAATACAGTAGGATTCAAAATTCTAGATTGGTATAATTTTTTTCCCCTCAACACATTAAATACTTCATTCTGTTCTTTTCTTGTTTGCTTCTGAGGAGAAGTGATACATAATTCTTATTTACATTTCTCTAAAGGAAAGATGTTTTCTTCCTCTGGGTTCTTTCAAATTTTTTTTTCTTTAGTCTTGCTTTTCCCAAATCTCAAACAATATTCCCTGTGTGTTTAGCAAATGTTCTGCTTGCTGTTCTCAGTCCTTCCTTCCAGGATCCAGGGTTCAGTAGAGTCTAGCATTAATCTGGGACAATTCTCAGTCTTTTGTTTCAAATATTCAAATATTGGTATTTCCATTAGGCATTACGTCCCCCTCTTTCAGGTGCCCCACAGTTCTTAAATCTTCTGATTTTTTTCAGTCTCTTTTGTTGACTTTTCCGTTTTGGATTCTTTACTGTATCTAATCTATTAATAAGCTCATCAAAGGCATTTTGATTTCTGTTACAGAGTTGTTAATCTCAGGCATTTCTTTTCGTTTCTTCCTTAGAATTTTGATCTAGGTCCTTACCTTGCCATCTGTTCTTCCATGTGGTGACGTATAAGACAAACATATTTAGTTTCTGCTCCCAGTTCCTGACATCCAGCTTCTAAAACCCTTGTTCCTTCCTGCGTGAGGAGCGTGACTAGAGCATCTTTTGGTATAGTAGTAACATTTGGGTATAATATTTAGTTCCTGGTTTCTGATGTAAAACTGCTACGACTGGGAATCTCTGGAGTGATAAGAGTGTCTCCTTGGATGTTAAATGCGATGACCGGTGGCTGAAAGCCCCTAGATGTCTTCCGAACAGGGGCCAGTTACCACAGGACTTACCCAGGTGATTAGGAGGTTGAAACTTTCAGCCCCATCCCTGGGCCTCCAAGGACAGAAGCTGGAGTTTGGGTTCATCACCAATGGACAATAATTTTCTTAATCACGTCCATGTAATGCAGCTTCCATAGAAACATCCCTGAGCGGTTAGGAAGACTTCTGGGTTGGAAAACACATCAAGGTGCTGGGGAGGTGGTGCCCCTGGAGGGGCTGTGGGAGCTCTGTGCCCCTTCCTACATACATTGCCTTGTGCATCTTTTCTATTTGGCTGTTCTGGAGTAATATACTTTATAATAAACTGGTAATCGTATGTAGACTGCTTTCTTGAGTTCTGTAAATCTGACCATCTTATGTCACCTTTGGGTTTGACTCTGGCAGGGCCTCAGCATCCAGGCAGCATGAAAATGCACAGGACTTCAGGGCTTCTCTCTATTTTTCGGGTCCTCTTTCATTGGTGCTGTTTTTGGAGAATCCAAGGTGAAGGAAAAATTGTATTGTTATATTTTTTCTTGACACTTTGGGCTCTTTCAGATCTCACTGATATACCAGCCCATCCCATTATCTCAGGCTTGTTTTTTTCTCCTCATACCTGCGTACACTGTATGGCAGACTCTCCTTCTCTGTCAGCCCCAGGTATGGAAACAAGGTGAGGGTGGTGGCCTTCCTTCAGCTATCATGGGCTTGTTTCTCTTGGGAATTCCGTCTACCAGTGGTACCTTGCAAATATTAAATTTTGCTAGTGCCATGGGAAATACGGCTTTAATCTTGTTTGGATTGTTGCTGTTGTTGCCATTGATATCAAGGTGTTTTTCTTATTCTATGTCCCACCTTTGGTGTTCCAGGAAACAGAGATCTTTTTTAATTTTTTTATTGCTGGAGATTCATTGAGGGTACATGAAACCAGGTTGCACTGACTGCCTTTGCTAGGTAAAGTCCCTTGCCCCCATGCACACTCTCCCCCGCCCATACCTCCCCCACATCCCACCACGTGGCTCAGACCCCAGGGCTCTGTCTTGGCCTCTGCACCACAGGTGATTGTATGTTTAGGGCTGTTGTGTTCAGGTTTCAGTGCTTTCCAAATAATTTTACATTAACGTGAACATTGTGATCAGGAAATTGAAAAACTCCCATGAGTATTTTCCTTAATTTGAGGCAAACTTAAAAAATTTGGCTGACGTGTGTGTGTGTGTGTGTGTGTGTGTGTAGGGGGTGAGTCTGCAGTTCATAGTTAAAGTACTTTCAAATTTTATTACAAATGGGTATTTCTTCTTTGTAAATTGTGTCCATTTCAGTGCACGTGTACAGAGGAAGTGGAGCAAATCACACGTGTTCATTTCCACCTTGAAGCTACCAGACTGATTTCCCTTTCTTTGAAAACTGTTTACTTCCTCCTGAATGCCGCCCTTCCCAACTTGGTTCACAGAGACATTTTCTTTTATTTTTTACTCTCAAAATGTCCTTCTTGGTCACTATATTTGACAGTCGGATAGCTTTTTTTTTGGAGACATATACCATTGTATCCTCTTATCTTTCTGAAGGCTTAATTTCCATTGCAGTTTTTACGAAGTGTTTTTTCTTGGATGTGTTTTCTACAACATCTTTCTCTTGCAACTGTATTTTCTTTTTTAAGGGTATCTCATTACTAAATGCATTACTGTGGGTCTTTTTCTGTCTATTATAATTAATTTTATTTCTCATTATTTTCAAGTATGTTTTTTTAATTTCTTTGATAATTTGGGAGGCTTACAAAACTTCTGTTTTGTTGGCAGATTTTGTTTATTTACTGACTTTGATGAGCATTTCAAGTGATTATTTGCTTTCATTTTATTTTTTTCTTTCTTGTATTCTTTTTTTTTTTTTAGGCATTAGATGCAAAATTTTAAAACGTTTCTCCTGATTATCACAATGAAGTTTTCTTTCTAATAATTCTGTATTTTCCCTTCCTCTTGAGTGGACTCTTTCTTTTCTTATGTTCCAGCATCTTAGGGCTCCTGATAATGACAGCGCACACTGATGCCTGTGAATAAACAGCCCGAGGTGATTCCTCCTAGAGCTTCTCTCTGCCTGCGAAGAGATGCTCGTGGAATCTCTGCCCTTGCCCTGAATGGAGGATCTTCCTGCACCAGCATGGCACGTTGGTTAAGAGCGAGGTCTCCAGAGTTACAGCCCCACTTCTGCCACCATTAGCTCTGTTTGGCGAGTCACTTTGCCTCTCTCTGCCTCATTTTCCTCATCTATAAAATGGGGAGAATAATAAGATCTATGTCAGAGGTTTATTATGAGGGTTAAATACATTCATATAAACCCTTTAGGTTACCTGGATCATTAGGAAGTCATCATCAAATGTTAGGTAGTATTTTTTCCTCACTATATTATACTCAAACAACTCCAATCTCTTGGTTCCAGTCAGACTGAACAATATGAAATTCTCTGAAATTCCCCCAAGATGTTTTCTTCCTACTTGCCTTTGAGTTTTATTGCTTTTGTGTTTATTATTTGGGATTTTTTTTTCTCTTTTATGATTGTGTTGGAACACTCTGGAACTTTAATTATAAAAGGTCAATAAAAGGTCGGGCTAATTACAGTCTTGAGTTCATGGCACACAAAATATTTGTTTAGACAAAGCTCCTGTCTTATTTTGGTTATTTATTTTATTTCAAATTCCCTCTTCACACCCGGCCTCCATTCCTGTTTCCTATTGCCAAACATAACAGTTTCATCATATTTGATGGTGACCCTTTAGTTCCTGGATATTTTTGAAAAACATGGATTGAATGTAGTGTGAATTAATATAAATAATATTGTGATACGATTCTCAACTTTTCCTTTTTCCTTCTTCTTTTTTTCTTTTTGAATTGGCAGGATGTTTTTAAGATCTCTTCCTATGGATGGGTAGATTTCATTTCATTGCTCCTGCGTCCTAAAGAGTACTCTTGGGACTATATCCATCAGAAATTGTTTTGTGACACCTGCCACAATGACCTACCTCATAAAGAGCATCCTTGCACAGGTCCCCTCGTGAAGCTGCGTGAACATTTCCTTGGGGTACATGCTCAGGACCAGGAGTGATTGATGGTTGAGTGTTTCTAGGTAGTAATGAATTAGTAAAGAGTCCCCAAAATGACTGGGGAAGTTTATATCCTCACCATCAGTGCACAAAGCTGCTTTCCCATTAGACGGTTTAACAATGTCAAGTGTGGGGGGACAACAGCCCTCGACACTATTCACTCCTCTGATTTTTGCCAGTCTAGTGAGAGAAAAATCATAGCTCATAATTCTTTTTATTATTACTTATTTCAGTACTGAGCATCTGTTCCTCTGTTTTATTTTAACCTTCTGGCTTCTTCTCTAGACATGTGACAGGAAACAGCTATTATGCTATTTCTTTTTGGTTTGATTTTACAATGTTTTCTACTTTAGACCTTCACATTTACTTCCTTTCTCTTCTCTCATTGAAGGAGACATGTCCAAAATGCACAGGAGACACGTGAGTGTGGTTCAGCAAACCTGGGCTCTTCTCTGCAAGAATTGTCTTAAGAAGTGGAGGATGAGAGGAGCGACCTTCTTGGTACGTTTCAGGGTTTATGCGTTCTCATATTTAGAGAGACCCATAGACATATAGACCCATCATAGTTCAGGTCTATGTGTTCTCATATTTAGAGGGTGAAAAATATTTTCTCAGGCAGCACAAATACTTAATCTTCATTATTTATTTTTTCACATATATATAGTCTAATTAGCAGGCTATTTTTTTTTTCAAGTTCCAGGATTTGCTATTTTTTCAAATAAAATTTAAAATATATAATTATTATTTGTCCTACTAGAGGGGTTGTTAAAGAATTCACATTAAGATACTCCCTGGAAGTATCTTAATACCATATCCATAGACTGCAGTATCTTAAAGCCATATCCATAGACTGCAGAGGTAACAATTCTTAACATCTGACCTCATTTGAATGTCATGAAGGCACAGGCATCAAAGTTCAGGGCTGAAGAGCCAAAGACACAGACTTTAATCCAGAATTAATTCAGAAGTGTCCCAGAATTTAGGTAACAAAAAGACAAACTGTAGTACTTACATGTGGATATAGACAGTGTCTGTTTGTAAGAAATAAAGGGCATCAAACAAACTGGAAAATAAATTATTTAGAACTTTCACTTCTATTAAAATATCTTTTTCTGAGCATAAGAATAATGTAATGTACTTTATGTAGAAAAATTTAGTAAACACAGAATATAAGTTAAAGTTAGTTATTTAAATACTCATAGTTCAATAGTTTGTATATTATTGTTAGATCTTATAAACAGTATGTGTGTATGTTTGTGTGTGTGTTTATTCAAAGATATATATTAAATGCTAGGATTTGAAGTGAATAAAGTGTATAAAATTTCCTGCATTGAGCAAGGACTATACAAAAAGAATGATAGAAGTCAATATCCTATTGTATATACAGATAGATGTTTTACTTCCAACCTTTTAACCCTTTTTAAAAAATAAACATTATATCTATGTTTCTTTGTAAATAGATGGATAAAGACATAGACCAGCTCATATAGCTCAAAGAAGATCATATGATGAATATCATATATAGCCCCTTTAAAAAGATTTGTGTTTAGAATGATAGCTAAATAATAAGGTGAGGGCTTGCCACTGGGCTTCTAATGCACTTTGATGCATTTCTAATACCAGAATGTGGTTACAGAGACAAAGCCTTTTAAAATTCTTTTTATGAGCAATATTGTAGGACTATCCTCTTCCACCTGCAGAAAGCAGAAGATAAAAGTACAACTTGGATTGTGTATGGAAGCTAGATACCTTCTCCATGCCACCTATCATTTAATTATCATTGTCACTAAGGTTTTACCATGGCTGTAAAAATCTGGGCAATCATGATGCAATCCAGCTTTTATCACTTGCATAAAAGCATGGTGAACTTAGATCCCCAATTATAACTGGGAATTGTACATAGTTCTGTGTGGAAAGACAATGTAAATATTGCAACATGTGCACTGTGAAGGACAAGAGAAAAATCAAGAAATTTAAAAAATTGAGAGACAGACCTAATGGAATGCAAGCTACCTAACTGTTTTAAATCAGTTAAAACAGATTGTGAGTGAAAACTGATTGTGAGTGATCAATCTGGGGTCAAATTCCTATCACCTTGCTTCCTTTTTCTCTCGTTGTATGCAGGAATGGCTTTTCTCATTTTTTCTAGTGCTGTTTGCGTACTTAATGTCCTCCAATTTACACCAAGTTAATGACTCTCCTCACATGCCTGCAGAGTATCTGGGACGTGTCGATCATTTTAATGATTCTGATTATTTTATTGCATTTGCACCCAAATCCAACACTACCCAATTGATAATGGACAAAGTGGCTTCAGCCCCATTCATGAAAGGTCGGTTCTCTGCCTGTTCATAATAGTTTTCTTATTTGCAAAAGATACAAATTCATTTTGCGATTTCCTTGATAAGTTGCATTCAATGTTCAAGTTTCTAGAGTTTATTGATTACTCTAATATGTATTCCTTTCCCGTCTCCAGGAGGTTTTCCTACTCTGTTTCCTAGGGCCCTGTGTTAGAGCACTTGTCTTACTTACAGTAAATGCCAAAAAGAGATCAACCAGGGTTATTTAAATGCATGTTTGTGAGAAGATTCTGGAAATATTAGACAGTGTTTCCTTAAAAAAACTCTTCATTTACATAAAAATTGAGAAACTAAACAACAATATCAAAAATGCAAGGGCAGTATTTACAACAAAACCAAGAGACAAAGTGTTTCTTTATATTGCAAGATCTGACTGGATGGGGAAGAAGAACTAAAAACCACAAGATCAGCATGGGACTCTCTCTAGGGGTGGGAAGGGTACGAACACAGGCGGCGGGGTATCTGACCGTCCTGAGGGCAGCCCCTTAAGAGTTAATAAGTAACCACTGGAAAGCAGAGATGGTTAATGTGAGAACACAAAGTACATCGTTTTCGGCAGTTATATTGGTAGTATAGTATTAAAATGTTATTGAGACTGCTAATTGTGTACAGTGGAGTAGATCAAATAAGTAATTAGGAAATAGCCTCCCTTTTCCATCTCTGCATCCGTGAAATCCAGGACTATTAGGATGGAAGACGTGTCTGGGACAGGAAGTTTACAGGCTGAAGGATCTTGTTATCCCAGACAGGGGGGGGAGCTACCCAGAACTGATAAGTTACATCCAGAGGTCTCAGGAGCCAACTCGGCACCAAGTGGGCTTCAACAGGGGCAATAATTTGAAACTTATCAAATATTTACATCCATGCAGTTATAATGTTACTTAAAAAGGTAATATAACTAATTTTCTACTGTTAGAGGATCATACAGTGTTGAGCATGCCGCATCCAAAAATCTGAAATCCAAAATTCTCCCCAAACTGAAACTTTTGAGTTTTGACATGAAGCACAAGTGGAATGAATATTCCAGAACTTACCTTGTGTACTGGGTGGCAGTCAAAACACACTCAAAACTTTGTGTCATGCACAAAAATCATTGAAAGCATTGCATAAAATCACCTTTAGCCTATGTGTAATTTGTATATGAAACATGATTGAATTTTATGTTTAGACTTAGGTCCCTTCCCCAAGATTTGTTATTATCTATGCAAATATTGCAAAATCCTGAACAATCTAAACTCGAAGACACTTCTGATCCCAAACATTGTACATAAGAGATACTCAACCTATAGTAATGAGTTCTTATGAAAATGTGCAAATAAAGAGGAACTGCGAGCATGGATCAGTGGCATCACAAAATAGATAATGGAAACGTACTATTTTATCAATGTTTTCTACTAATAAAGTTTTTAAGATAATAAAACACTGCTATTTTGAAACCCTCATTGAATCAATGGACTTGTGCACCGAGCATCAACATCTGTTAATAGCTCAAAAAAAGGAACAATTGAAATTTATGCGGCTCTGGGTAAAACAAAACAGCAGTGCCTGTATTCTGGTGAGAAGGATTTCCAGCTGCTGGGTTGAAGGAACCACAGAGGACAAAGGAACACACTGAACTGCACCAGGAGTGTGCAGTCAGCAAAATCCAGAATCTGAGAAACTCTCATGAGGAACCTAGGCTTCAATGGCCTGGGTTTGATCAGTAACATTCAGCCATTGACATTATATATTGTAGAATAAACAAAGCCTCTTAAGAAAATATTATCCCAATGTAACAGTTTATACTATCTTTGGCCACATTAAAAGTACTGTCAAATGGAAAATACATAGTATTATAATATGTATTTAGACATAGAATAGAATTCAACTTTTAGATGGGTCTATCTGTACATGAATTTAAATGGGTGCAATTGTACTATTATTTCAAATTCATCACGCTTTAAATTATTGTTTAAAAAGTTCATGTGCAGGCTCAGCACCCATAGCACAGTGGTTACAGTGCCAGCCACATATACCGAAGTTGGTGGGTTCAAACCCAGCCTGGGCCAGCTAAAACAACAATGACAACTACAACAAAAACAGCTGGGCATTTGGCGGGCACCTATAATTCCAGCTATTGGGAGACCGAGGCAAGAGAATCGCTTAAAGCCCAAGAGTTGGGGGTTGCCTTGAGCTGTGATACCACAGTACTCTACTGAGGGCAACATAGTGAGAACCTGTCTCAAAAAAAAAAAAAAAAGTTCACGTGCAAGGGCAAAATATATTTGCAATAAAAGTACCTGCCATGTAACACTTCTGATTTTTATGGAGACTACTAGAAATATGAGTTTCCCTCACTTCTGCCCTCCCTGGTCCCTGGTCCAACACTGCCCAAGAGAACACCTTTAATATAAAACACCTTTAACATAATTGTATATGGTATGCTGTCTCTTACTTGTAACTACTTTCTGTTTTTACTTTGCAGGAAGAACAATCATGGGGTTGCCTGATGAAAAAGGCATTGATGAACTGGATTTAAACTTTTCTGTAGATGCTGTGAAAGTCATCTTTACTGATTCATTCTCATATCATCTGAAGTTTCATTGGGGACATAGAATCCCCAATATAGAAGAACACAGAGACCATTCAGGTAGACTTCCTAGTAGAAAATGCATTTTTTTTTTTGCTATTATATCAGTCGCCCCAGGGGGCACACATGAGAACAGAAGTGAAATTAACTGCACACACACCCAACTTATACCATTAACTTCTAAGCTTAAGAAGGTTGATCTTTGTTAAATATTTACACTCTTAACTACATTGTCTTGCTAAGAAATTATATTTACTATTTTTTAAGCTGCTCCAAAATGAAACCTTAAAAGGGCTCTTGCTCAATGATTTCCAAACATTTAAAAAAATGTTTTGAGTGGTTTCTTGGCACAAGCAATAGAAGAGAGCAAAGCTCAAACAGAAAACATGCTTGATAATGAAAGGAATTATAATACTGAATGAAAAATCATGGAGAGCTGATTTTTAAAACACTAATGAAGCAATTCTGGTGAATTCTCCTACGGCATATTCTATAAACTTCAAAAGGAAGACTTACCATAGGCTATGTTATCATGGACGTTGAGTGCATTTTGAAACACTTGAAATCTTAATTATTTTTTCCTATAACCAAGAGTGTCCTATCTCATAATAATGGATGTGTTCTTTTTCTAAAGCTCATTGTGAAGTAACAGATAAAAGAATCACATGTAAATCATCAACATTCTGGGAGAATGGCTTTGTAGCTTTTCAAGCTGCCATTAATGCTGCTATTATAGAAGTGAGTATTAAGGAAAAGGAACATGACTGCATCACTAATTAACTTTTGGTGGGTGGTGGTTGAGTTAATCTGTTTGCATTGCTACAAAAGAATACTTGAGACTGGGTGATTGATAAAGAAATTTATTTGGCCCACGGTTCTGCAGGCTGACAGGAAGCGTGGCACTGGCCTCTGCTCCCAGCGAGGGCCTCCAGAAGCCTCCACCTGTGGCGGACAGGGAAGGGCGGAAGCATCAGTGGTGCCAATCGCTTCATGATTTCAGCAGTATAATGGATATCTTATTCTATCATGCATTCATTTAATTAATAAGACATAATATATTGAACAATTCTATATTCAAACCACTATGCTAAGTACCGGGACTCAGAAAATAGGTAGAACATAGACACTTTTCTCAGAGATACTGGGAATGGGGGAGATAGAGATATGGGTATGTAGTCACAATAAGATTTTAGGTTCTATTGTAGAAATTTTAACTTTTTTTAGAGATAGGCTCCCACTATTTCACCTATGCTGGGTGCAGTGGCACGATCATAGCTCACTGCAGCCTCAAGCAGCTGGGCTGAAGTGACCATCCTGGCTCAGCTTCCACAATAACGGGTGGCACATGCACTCGACTCTACCATAGAATTTTAAGTGGTGTAGCAGGCAAGTAATGAAGTAGGAGATTCTCCGATGAGAAATATCAGGGAAGACTTGCTAGCTGATCTGCCATTCCAGCTGGTTTTAAAACCTAATAGCATTTTGTCCAATGAAGATGGTAAGCTGGAATGTTCTAAGGAGTCAAGACAAAATCAGGAGCATTTTGGAACTACAAGAGGCTACATATACATATATACAGAGGGGGCCCAAAAATGTATGCACATTTAAGAAAGGAAAAATCTCTACTGAATTTGTAATACTTAAGTCACATTTGACTTCTGCAATTACAATAGGTGGTTAGCATGACTTGGGTTCATTTTTTGGTTATCTACATACATTGAATATTACAATTTTAATACAGTTTTTTGTTTCTTAAAATGTGTATATATTTTTAGCACCTTCTCTGTGTGTGTGTATGTGTGTGTGGGGTGTGTAAAATGTAAATGATTTTTTAGAATTGAGGACAAAGCCTAATGTTAAATCTATGATAACAATTTGTACATTGATATTTTTCTCTAGATTACAACAAATCATTCAGTGATGGACCAGCTGATGTCGGTTACTGGTATAAATATGAAGATATTTCCTTTTATTGCCCAAGGAGGAATTGCAACTGATTTTTTTATCTTCTTCTGCATTATCTCTTTTTCTGCATTTATATACTATGCCTCAGTTAATGTCACACAAGAAAGACGATACATTAAGTCACTGATGACAGTGATGGGACTTCGAGAGTCGGCATTCTGGTAATCGCATGACTACAATCCCTCGTGTAGCACGAATCAACAGACGACCTCAGTTGCTGGGACTCTCAGGCCTATAAAGCATCATATTTAAACTTTCTTCTTTCATGAAGCGGTTCATTATAAATTAATGGACTAGATGCACATATAGGCTTAGTAATCACTAAACAACACTTTTCATACCTCTTGGACTTAAAGCCTGTCCTGCAGACGTCTTCCACCCCTCAGGGCACTAACAATACAGCTGATGGCTCTCAGTTCTAGTTACCATGTGTGGGTGAACTCAAATATACAAAAAGTTGAAGTTTCCAGTGTTTCAATAGAATGTATGTTTTTAGATATCTTATGTTAGAAGTGGTGGCTGATTTTGACTCAATGTTGAATGAGTCATTACTTATTACACCCCAAAATGGCACCTATTATGCTCTTTATACACTGAGACGTCCTTAGTGGAGGCAGCGTAGCAGAGTGAGAATCCAGGCCAGGGAGTCAGGAAGCCACGAGTCATCTCCATCTCAGCATGCTGTAGCTTAGATGTAGAAAAATTAGGAAAATTAGTCCAACTCTTTAAACCTCAGCTTTCTTTTCTGTAAAACTTTGGTAATAATATCTGCTGCTCATGGGTCATAAGTATTAAAAGAGTAATATTTAAAGTGCTTTACCTGGTGCTTAAGAGTAAGACTCAATATTAGCTACCAAGTGATAAAACTTCGGGAAGTGTTATGGTGTGAGGGAACAGTACCAAGGTTTCAATCATCAATAATGGCACAATTTTTTAATGAGGTTAGCCAAGTGATGTGTTAAAGACAGCTCATGGTAAAAGTGTGAGTTCTGGAGTCAGAAACCGATAGTTTGAATCTTGAACTTGTCCTTTACACTGTGTGATATTATTCTCAGTGTTAAACACGATCGTGGAATGCACAGGAGAGTCCTTGGTGGATGCTGTGCAGCCTTGAAGAGAATGGTGGACACTGTTGAGTAGGAAGACGACACATTTTTAATGTTGCTGATCTACACCAGATTTATTTATTTTTCTACAGAAGTGTCCAATATACTGCATGTAGAAATGGAGAAGATGGATTAATAGTTTAGTTTAGAATGAGAATTTTTTCTGGTTTCCTTTCTGTGATAAAATTGTGTGACTCAATACTAATGAAGATTTTGTCACTATACATATTTTAAAAATGATAAGATTCTGTAAGGAGTCAGAATAAGGTAACCAATATAATAACAGAAGTAAATCCATTAAGGAAGAATCACAAAATCAGGGTGTTTTTCCTCTAACAAGAAAGGACTGTGGCATGTAGATGAAATTAAAGAGAGATTTATATTAATAGAATGCAAATAGGTGAACAATAAGCAAGTTCAGGTGAATCATTCGCCTGAATTTCACAGCGCAATTTCAGGTGTATTGTGCAAGTAAATCATTACAATTAATGACATGGAAAATTAGAATATGATATCACGTTCTACTTTAAAAAAGAAACTAGCTTTCCACTGTGGACCCATTATAACCCGTTACCATATTTAACCCACTGAATACATAATTGCATTGAATTTTCTTATTTTCCAGTAGAGAAAGCTAAAGTTTAAAGAGATTAAATAACTATCTCTCAGGATTACATAATTAACAGAGCAGAGAAAACGTGAACCAGATCTATGTGCCTGGAAAGTCTATTCTTCATAAAAGAACTTTCTTCCTGTTTCTTTGGCATTGATAATAAGGAAGGCCATATCTTCATCTCTCTCTGTATATCTATATATCTGTGTTCTGTCTATGCCCTATGTCTGTGTGTATCTCTGTATCTACATCTAATCATCTATAGCAGCGGTTGGCAAACTGGGAAACATTTTGTACAAAATATGAAATATTTTGCATATTCGGAATGGCTTTTACATTTTTAAATTTTTGGAAGAAAATCAAAAGAATAATAATATTTTGTGGTACATGAAAATTTATGTAAAATTCAACTTTTGCTGTCTATAAACATGTTTATTGGTACACAGCCACATGTCATTTAAATATTACCTCTGCTGGGTGCGGTGGCTCACACCTATAATCCCAACACTCTGGGGGGCTGAGGCAGGTGAATTGTCTGAGCTCACCAAGTACAAGACCAGCCTGAGCTAGAGTGAGACCCGTCTCTAAAAATAGCCAGGTGTTGTGTTGGGTGCCTGTAATTCCAGCTACTCAGGAGGCTGAGGCAAGAGAACCGCTTGAGCCCAAGAGTCTGAGGCTGCTGTGAGCTATGACACCATGGCATTCTACCCAGGGCGACAAAGGGAGACTCTATCTCAAAAATAAATAAGTAAATAAATAAACACTGCTTTTGTGCTACAAGGCAACACTGAGTGGTTATAACAGAAACCGTATGGGCTGCAAAGCCTAAAATATATACAATTGGACTATTTAGAAAAAAGCTCTGCTCACCCTGGCTTCATAATCTATTTTTTGAGCATGCTGTTTACACAATTACTAAAAGAACTTGTCCAGCACTGACAAGTCATCATGGACGTCTTCCCAGAACAGTGCTCCCTGGAGACATCTCCCAGCTGTGCTCATTGTCCCACCCAGCCTTTCTTAATTTGCAATTAGTATCCATTTTACCTGTTTTCTTGTTTGTTACCTACCTCGCCCTATAGACTATGAGTTTCAGGGCAGGGAAGTTTTCAGGTTTGCTAGTTATTGCACCCCATGTACCCCGATCCGTGGTGAGAGTCACAGATGTAGCAAAAGTTTGCTCAGTACGGGTTTACTCAGCAAGGATGAAGGAAGGAGTGACGAGGTAACGGCCTCTGAACTGACGCTTCGCTTCCCTGCCAGGCTTTCCTGGGGTTTGATGTACGCCGGCTTCATTCTTATCATGGCCACAGTAATGGCTGTCATTGTGAAGTCTGCACAAGTTGTCGTCCTAACCGGCTTTGCGGTGGTCTTCCTCCTCTTTCTCCTCTATGGCCTGTCTTTGGTAAGTTGATGATTTTAATCCCTCTCTCTCATTCTCATCACCTCCCCTTCCCGCCACTCATTTGTCACCTGTTCTCTTTGTAATCTTTGCATGAGACAGTATGGAGGGGTGGAAAATTGATGCAATATGCTTTTATAAAATAAAATTCCTTTTGTGTGTCACTGACGGTTCTCAGTGAACTACAGACCAGCTGACATTTTTCTCTCCTCTCAGATAACTTTAGCTATCCTGATGAGCGTGCTGATAAAGAAACCTTCCCTCACTGGCTTGGTTGTCTTTCTCCTTATTGTCTTTTGGGGATCCCTGGGATTCACAGCCTTGTACTCACTTCTTCCTGCGTTTTGGGAATGGACCTTGTGTCTTCTGAGCCCCTTTGCCTTCACTGTGGGAATGGCCCAGGTAAGAGGTGCGGTAACTATTCTATGTTCTACAAAAAATTCAAATAATTCATGCAACATGTTCTAAGCACTGAAATTTCCTCCTACTTTTGCAAAAATGAACACTTAAGTTAGTGGTTCTTCCTAATGCTGCGACTCACAGGTTGAGAACTGCTGACTTATGTGATACAAGAGATTTTTATTCTTTTCTTTCTGCATAATCAGTTTTTTCTTAAGTTCCTAAATATAGGATGATGCTTCATTATTGATGTGTTTCAGCTTCTACTTCTAGTTGGCTATCCTTGGAAACATTTGTCCTGTTTAGTGTTTCAGGAACTATCACAAACATTTGAAAGCCAGAAATTTGGGAAAAAATAATTTTTTATTTTTTAATTGTCCATTTCTACATGAAACTGAACTTCCTCTTAGAAAAGTGAATTTTGATTTCATCACTATAAGGTGCCACCCAGAAGGTGGTGTCTCATCCACACTCACTGTGTCCTACTATGGTCAGGAAGAAATTGTTCTTCTGTCTCCTGCCAGCCTCTAAAGTTCATCCACCCTCCACGTTTATAGTCTGAAGTGGAGTGCCCTGTGCAGAATGTCCTGCTCTTCCCCATCCCGAGCCTGATGGAGTCCTCCCTAGGTCCTGCTCAAGTATCACCTTCGTTGGGTTTGTTTCCCCTCTTAGAAGACTCACCTGGTGCGGCCTGTGGCTTCCTTAGTTCTCAGAACCAACATCCATTACTTTCCCAACTTGCTTTCAGCTGGATAATTACCTTGCTAGTGAAGTTATCTTCCAATAGGTCTGAGCTCTGTAAACACAGGAATTATGTCTTACTTACCTTTGTGAAGCCAGTGCAGAAATAAGACAATAATAATTCTTAATGCCATAGTAAGCCTTTTTAATTCAGTGTATCCTTTTTATTTCAGCTCATACATTTGGACTATGATGTGAATGCTGATGCCCATTTGAATTCTTTGCACAACCCACACCTCATCATAGCGACTCTTTTCATGCTGGTTTTTGATACTCTTCTTTATCTGGCATTGACATTGTATTTTGACAAAATTTTGTGCAGTAAGTATTCAACACAATTATCAATTACATTTCTTAAAAATTACTCTACAATGTATTAAAAATAAATTAGCCAGCACTAAAAAAAATTCTAGGAGAAGTCCAATGATATTCTCCTTTGCTTTTAGAGTCACTTTCTAAGACTTTCTACGATAGCATGAGTTCAGGCTTAGTATCAAATCGATCACATTGACATGCTGCCCTAGGTGACTGTGATTGTGGAACTGATGACTGACACATTATTCAATTGCCTCCTGCTCATGTAGCTGAGTATGGACATCGACATTCTCTCTTGTTTTTCCTGAAGTCTTCTTTTTGGTTTCAACACCAAAGACCTGATCATGCGGCCCTTGAGAATGAAATAGATTCTGACCCTTCATCTGATGACTCTTTTGAACCAGTATCTCCAGAATTCCATGGAAAAGAAGGCATCAGGTAACCAATAAATTCCATGGCGTTGCAAATGCAGAATAGGACAGAGACCAGCGCTCCATCAGGCAAAACATGATGTGCAAAGATTTCGTTGCACCTGTGCCCAGCCTGCTGCACTCATGAAAGGATACACTGATTATTCATTGTATTTTGTTTCCTCACATTCTCAGAAGTAATATTTATGTTTACATGGTGTAGCAACAACCATAAACAAGTAAATAATCTTCGAATTTCCATTTTCCTCATTATCACTCTGGTTTCTCCTCTTCATGTTTTTCTGCCAGTCTCCTTGTGACAAACACAGCCATCACCTCCCTTGTTTCCTTCACCTTTGTTTTTGGTAATTCACTTTGTCCCTTTTATTTTTCTCTCCTGACTCATAATAAGATGGGGAGAAAAATGCCAAGTAATACATAAAGGGGTGAAAGACACTTCAGAGAGAAGGGAGGGAGACACGAGAAGCTGGGGGACACTAGTGCTGTGAGTTTCTTCTCTTTGCAAGGATATGAGCTCTTTGCTCAGTGCTAGTTACCTTGATTTTCAAATGGCTGGGAATCTAGAAGGTCCCAGATATTTTGTCAAATTTTGCTAATCCTTCAATGTTAATCTCACCCTCAATAAAACTTTTCTTGTCCACCCCTCCACTAATGTATTTTGACTCTGAACATTTACAATAGTGTATTTACAGTCTCTAAACATTTAGTTTGTTAAAACACAGGTCCAATACGAACAAACAACAGAGAGTAGTGTTCTCTCATTCTCATGAGTTGCTGTTCTGTTCTCAGAAATTGTGACCTCCCTCTGATCTGGAACCCTAAGTTTTATGTTCTTTCTGGTGCCCGCATTAGAATCAGGTCCTATCAGAAAAGTCATAGAGAGCCTTGAATGATGAAAGAAGGTATTTTTATTTACTCCGTAGGCAAGGAGGAAGGTAGTGAAAGTTTCTGAAGTATGGGTAACAAGATTAGACTTATATTCTATAAAATTATCTCCATCAATGAGTGGAGGCATTGCAAGCAGAGTCTCGTGTAGTTGACTGTCAAGATAGCCTAGAAGGTTTTTTCTGTGGCATGGCTACTCAAGACTTCCTGTCCCATTTTGTTGCTTTGGCCTGTCCTGTGTCCTGCAGACCAGTTCACAGAGTTCTGAAGCTCTAGATCATTATTTCTTGGAGGCCAAGCCAGTTGGGCTCATCATCACCTCTCAGTATAGAAGGCTAAAGAATGAAATGACAAATTAAAATGCATTTTGTACAAACCACAGGGTAGATTCTACCTAATCAACTCCCTAAACACTAAAGCTAAATTTTATCAAAATATTTGGGGAAAACCATCATTAATATTGGTTAGATTAAATGAGGGAATAGGTAAACTGATACCTATTACTGCCTGAGAAAGAAAGGATAGGTAAAGAGAGGCCAGGAAAAGCCAAGCAATTTGCCCAAGGACATATAGTTTAGAAAGAGACCCATATATGTTTGGGTTCCTATATGTGTTTGAACCCACATATGCTTAGCTCTAAAGGTATTGCAGCTGAACGTCCCTCTTCTCATAGTCATTAATGCTTCCATATTTGACTGGACTGTACTTATTTTATGGACTGAATTGTGTTCCCTTAGAATCTGTATGTTGAAACACCAACACTTAAAGTGGTGATGTTTAAAAAATGAGGCCTCTGGGAAGTAATTAGGGTTATGTAAGATCATAGGGGTGAGGCCTTCATGATGGGATTCCTATATTTATAAGAGACACAAGAGAGCCCTCCCTGCCATGTGATGGAACAATAAGAAGGTGGCTGCATGCAAGTCAGCAAGAGAGTCCACCCAGAAGTCAATTCTGTTGATATGCTGATCTTGGACTCCCCAACCTCCAGAATTGTGAGAATGAAATATCTATTTTCAAGCCATCCATAGTTTGGTATTCTGTTATAAGAGCACAAGCAGGCTTATGCAACCCACCTGCTGGTTTGTTGTGATAGTGTGAGAAAATAATGGTGATAAAATGCACAGATTCTGGTTTATTCTACAGCCTCAATTCATTTTAAATCTTTTTCTATGCACCATGTAAAAAAAATTTCTTTGTTTCAAATTCTTTGAAGAGAGGTCTTCATCTTCCTCTTTCATCTTCTGTAGAGGCTTAGTATGTTCCAAACATTTTGTGTCCTGCATATATTGTCTTATTTAGTCTACAGTTCAATCCCATATGATAGTTAATGTTGTCATCCCCATTTTACTGCTGAAGAACTCAACTCAGTGGATTTCAAGCGCACAGCATTTGCAACAGAGCTAGTGTGTGGCACACCTGTGGCTTCACTCAGAATATTTTGACACCAAAGTCCTGATCTTTCTGTTTTGCTGTGCTGTTTCTTTTCTTTTCTCCATCATAGTATCTCCTCACTGTTGACTTAATCTCCAGTTTTCCTCATATTGAATCACTTGTCACAATTCTTACAGCAACATACTTCCATGTACTAGCTACGCCCTCCACATTGAGACCTTTCAGTGATCAGAAATGCAGCTTAAAATGAGATGCCTGTGTGCTTCTGTCAGTGTCTGTGTGAAAGCAAGGAACCCCTAGATTTCTTTTAAGACTTTGCTCCTGCCTCAAACACTTGATTGATTCATCCTCTACTCATCTCCACAATTTCCTAAAATCATTTTCCTCTTTTTTCAGAATCAAAAATCTTAAAAAAGAATATACAGGAAAGCGTGAAAAAATAGAAGCTTTGAAAGGTAATCAAACACCATATTTAACACAGCTGCTTGGTTTAGTGACCACTTCACTGTTGTAGCATCTCCATGGGAGTAAGAACAGAGATTCCAGATGTCATGACTCTTCTTTACCTGAACACATTAAGTTTCCTCCCAAGTAAATAAAAACCTATAAGACAATCTTGAAAATTTGTCTGTAACATTAAGAATCTTGCAGGTTTGAAATATATATGGTAGTATCAATAAATTCTTTATATCCAACTCATTACATGCTCTAGTCCTAAATCCTAAAGCTGGCTTTATTACAGACAGGCTCTTTAGTGGTAAAACTACTTTTATTCAAAAATCATTCATCACATAATGACCTATCATGAACAATGCTATAACTATAAAATGTGTATCAAAGGAGATATAATTTTGAAAGAAAGAATTTTAAGAAAACTATTGAGTATCAATAACCAGATATATTTATACTGTAAGAAATTATAAAAATGTGTAAGAAGTTACTATGTATGATCTGAGTGTAATTTTTTTTAACATCATTCCAGGTCTGGTGGTTGACATATATGAAGGACAGATCACTGCACTCCTTGGTCACAGTGGAGCTGGAAAAACCACCTTGTTAAACATACTTAGTGGACTGTTGGTTCCAACATCAGGTGAGAGGACAGTTATCCAAGGACAGGTACATGAGTGAAAAAATTAACTGTGCATGTTATTAGTTTCTTCAATGACCAGTTTCACTAACTATTTAATATACCCATGTATTTAAAAGAAATTTTTAGAAGTTTGTTTATCCTTTTATTGAATTATATTCTATTTATTTAGGAAAACACTATTTGTGTTTTAAATATTTCACAAGTAGCTTTGTGATAATTCATTTATGAATTAGCATCCCAGCTGGATCAGCTATTACTGTGAATATTTCATTTTTAATCAGTCAATCTGTATTTCTCATAGATAAAGTATGTTGAAATGACTCTAATAATTGACATACTTTGTCTCCATTTAAAAATATCTTCAACGCAGCCTGACAGATTTCTCATGATGCTCACTCTCTAACTTCTGCATGTAGGTTCGGTCACCATCTATAATCACAGACTTTCGGAAATGACGGACTTGGAGACTGTCAGAAAGCTCACTGGAGTTTGTCCACAGACCAACGTGCAGTTTGGCTTTCTCACCGTGAGAGAAAATCTCAGACTGTTCGCTAAAATCAAAGGGATTCTGCCACATGAGGTGGAGCAACAGGTACATGAACAAGTGAGGCGCCACACAGCCATGGGTGTGAAGTTGCTACCTAGAAAATTCTAAATGTATTTGTGGTATTTCTACACCATTCTTTGTCTAAAGGTTAGACAAAAATGCCCTTTGTATAGAACAGAATAAGAATAGTGTTTACCAATAAACATTTGGGGTTTTGGACCAACTATTCTTTATTTGTTTAGGTACGACAAGTTTTACGGGACTTGGAGATGGAAAATATTCAAGACATTCTTTCTCAAAATTTAAGTGGTGGACAAAGTAGGAAACTCACTTTGGGGATTGCCATTTTAGGAGATCCTCAGGTAAGTCAAGCTGAAATGACTGGTGAATCAGGCTGATGACTATGCAACCATTTTATTAGATGCAACTCAACTTGCCAATGATAAATGCAAGAGAATTTTACAATGCAGTGTGAAGTACTGAGGGGTCTCTCCCCTGTGCTTTGAAGAAGAAACTTGCCTGAAGGAGAATTATTTCACTTGCTTTCCCACCGTCCAGGTTCTGCTGCTGGATGAACCGACAGCTGGGCTGGATCCTCTCTCCAGACACCGAGTGTGGAACCTCCTGAAAGAGGGGAGGTCAGATAGAGTGATCCTCTTCAGTACCCAGTTTATGGACGAGGCTGACATCCTGGCTGGTAATGTCTGGTTTTCTCCATGTGTGTTAGTGAGGAATCAGGGACACGTGTAGAGTGGGCCTAGGTGTGCTCCACAGCTGTGTCTCACTGGGGACTGCTGTGGCCAACAAAAGAAGAACTTGCCCCCAACACAATGAAAGGCCGAAACCCAAGAGAACCTGGCCCAAAAAAAGAATCCTAACCCAATGCAAAACCAAACGGGTGGAAAAAAAGTCACACACCATCAAAGAGATAACTGGATGAAAAAGAGTCAAACCCAACTGAAGAGCCAACTAGATAAAAAAAAAGTACCACAAAATAAAAGAGAGAATCAAATAATACAATGTTAATTCCAGCAGAACAAAAAAAAAACCTTTACATAACAATAGGCTTACGAAATATCCTAGAGAATAAACTAAGATAACAAAAGACACTAGATGAAAAAGAAAGCACTCTACAGGAAGCTGGAAAGAAAAAACACCTAAATGCAAATGATCTGCTCCTAAAATATAAAAAGACAGAAAGGACTCAATCTCTGCTAAGAGGCAAAAAAATAAAGCCTCAACACAATTCATCAAGAAGAAATGGCGAAACAGACACCAAGGAAGGCACAGCCCGTAAGAGGCGGAAATGTGCAAACACGCCACAAATCCGGAAGAAGAAACGAGCAACAGCAAAACATTGAAGGCAAAGCGCATAAAGACCGAGAAGATCAGAACAAAAGAGAAACATAGGAACAGAGGCAACAAGGACCACTATGCCAAAGGAAAAGGAAAAGAAGACACACGAAAGAAATCGAAAAGAGAAGGAAGAACCAAGGAGCCATAAACCAAAATTTAGCAAAAATATACCAAAAACACAATAGTAAGAAGAAACGATTGAAGATACAAACAATAGAAGAACAATAAATCTGAAGTCAAATAAAAATTCAGGAAAACATTTCCATCATTATTACATCCAACCTTTATCAAATCATAGCTGTGCACATTAATCCAATCAAGCGAGACAATGTACAGACCCTAAACACAATCCGAAAGAGCTTCATCAAACCCCCCAACACACCACTAATCTCATCTTGACACTTCCAATAGCAACCTATGAACGCTAACTAACGTCAATTACTAAAAGATGCCTACATTTCACCTACTCGCCATGAAGTATGAACATAAAAAAAAAATACTATCAAAAGTAATCCGCAAAATAACCACAAGAAAATGCCACAAAAAGAAACTACAGAAAAATAAGGCAACCACAAAACAAACAGAAGAAAAAAGCAAGCCAAACATTTCTAACAAGTAAGCATAGGACAAAGAAGACAGGTGTAATACCAACTAACAACTAAAAAGTACAAGAAAATATGGATAAAGATTAAAAAAAAAACAAAGACCAGCATCCAAACATTGCACCAAAACACGAAAACTGATCAAAAAAAAAATCAAATCACTACAGCTCCCGCAATCGAATTCAATCAGCAACCACCAACTAACAGCACCAACCACGAGCCAAAGCGCAAGTCCAACAGTAGTGCCGACTGCAATCCAATGGAAGCAGGAGCCTCTGACTAAAACGAACACTCACCACTCACTAAGCAAGGGCCAAAGCTCACCAGCCCTGAAGAAGCTGAACGAAGAACACCTGCCTAACAAGGAACAACCCAAAAGAGGAACCAAGGCCAAAGAACACCAAAACCACAAGATTGACTTATGAACAATTAACCCCTAAGAACCAAACTAAAAGAAAATATAAAATAGCCAAAACAAGAAAAAACTAATGGTGAAGCCTAACAAATAAAAAGCGGAGAAATAATAGAAAAGCAACCAAAAAGAAGCAACACTAACACAAACTCCCCATCACACACAAAGAAAAACCGAGGACATAAATAATTAAGAAGGAAGCGACGGTAGAAAAGAGACAACCCAATCCCCCCCTCCCTCACCCCGAGAACACACAGAAGAAGACCATCGAAACACAAAAGACTTCTCAAAAGAAAAAACCGCCAGGTTCCTATCAGGAGACAAGACAAAAAATAGCACAACGCCGTCAAAGCACAAAAAAACAGTCGAAATGATTACTAAAGGGGTGGCTAAACACCAAAAATTGAAGGAAGAACCACAGAGGCACCTACCAAAAAATAAACGAACGTGAACTGGAAAAAGGTTGCACAACAAAAAACAAAAAAAGAAAAAATCTATAGAGGATTAGCAAAAGACAAGCCACCATGCAAAGGAATAAACACTAGATCAAAAAAAAAAGAGAAAATCAGCTAAGAACTAGGGAGGATCTCATCACAAAAAGAAAAAATGCATACGCAGAAACAAAAACAAAATGCCGGAATTAGAAAACCTCTAAAAAGACGGCAATAAGACTACATTATAAACAAAAAAACAAAACCACAGACACATTAAGCAAACTCTCTGAAAGCGCGACCTCCTGAAACCATCACACAAAAAACAGAAGCGAAAAGGCGAGACAAAGCACCTCAATAGATCGAGTCAAAATTAGAAAGTCCCAGCTACTGCACGCAACACAAAAAAGGCCGAAGTACAGCTTGGCTCCAAAAAAAAATCTGGGAAAAAACAAACATGACACTAACCATACCAAAAAAGAATCCCCCACAAAAGCTATATACACCAAACACATGGACGAAATCAAGAGTCATAGAACAAACGTAGCCCAATACAATACAGCGAGAGACTAGTCCATATTAAAAAAGAGATAAACACATACCACAAAAGCAGAAAATTAATGTCCAACATACTCCAGGAAAACAAGAAATTTAACGCACGTAGGTAAATGTTAGTTTGCATCTGAAAGAAAGAGCCGAAACAGAGAACACAACATACAGGGCCAAACACCACATCCCTGATGCCAAATTAACAGCACAAAGTGAAGAAAAACTTGTGTATATTTTGCCTTTGGAGAGGACAAACAAATTTCCAGGTAACAAAATGTGGAGACCACAGAGTGACTCAAGAATGGCATTACTAACAACAGATAGCGATAAAAATGATGGCTAATTTTAATGGTTGCCCATTTTGTGGCACGATGCATTAACTTATTTAATATTCCCAACCCCAGGGGCGTTTCTAATATTAGCCCCTATAGTATCCCCATGTCACCTATGGGTAAACCAGGGCACATAGATGTTAAACATGCTTCAAGGTAGTTTGATAGCAAGGTAAATTTAGGATTACTGGGGAAATTCATTTCAAGAATGAATGAGAGAGTGTGGCCAAGGCAGAAGGGGTCTGCTAAAAGAGTGCCAGACTGTGGAAGGAGAACTAAGGAAATTGTACACAATATATAGATATTTTTATGGACACCATAACCTAATGGTAAAATCTAAGTTACTGAAGATAGTTAAGATCAACCTGCATGCTGCTAAATACTCCAAGATTTGTGACTTTGCTGCAAATACAAAAGCCTAGAGGACTACTGCTGTTACCATTTTTCTACTGCACCTCCCAATGCTCTGTTTTATTTTTCACAAGTTTAGGATAGATTGGGTTTTTTTTTTTTCTTTTTTAGGAATAGCCCATAAAAATGTGTTTACCTTAATGCTGGGGCCATTGCTGCATACTTAAAGCAGTAAGCCTGCCATGATCAAGTCCAGTAAAGAAACACACCACCAGATAATAAAGTGCAGTGATTGGATGCCCAGATGATGGCGCTAGACAGCCTAGATTCAAGCCCCATCTATGCTGTTATCAGCTCCGTAATCCTAAACAAGTTTTACTACTTTTCTTTACTTCAATTTCCTCATTTGTCAAAAGAAAATTGCAATAGTCTCCTGCAGTTGTTATGAGCATTAAATGATATATTTAAATTTATTATCAAACTATTAAATTTAAGTAAAGTATCTAGAATAATACCTGACATGTACTACCTGTAATATGTTGTTATGTTTAAGAAACTCTCAACTATAAGACATACTGCTAAGGAAGAAACAGAAAAAACCAACACTGCCATTTAAAATATGATTTTCCATCACTTATGATTCATCCTCATTTCAGATTTGCTAAAAGGTGATAAATGTGTTTACCTTAGAATCAGTGAAAGAAGGGTATACAGTAATACAATATCTTTGAGATAAATGTCATTTATGAAAACAGAACTCTCTGTGATGACCACACAACAGGGTTTTGCCTGGTTACTTATTAAACGCATCCCAGAAAAGGACAAGCAATTTTAGAGATAGATTAGGTAGATTTAAACTCATACATCTCTATTTTCCTTTACTTATAACTTACTTATAATTAAGATAGGAGCATTTAATTTTTCCCAATGTTTGAATTAAATTATGATGAACTTTTGGTTTTCCTGACCAGCTCAAGGATTATTCCCAAAACCTTTTAAAAAAATTATCTCTCAAAAAAGTATGTATATAATTTTCTAAGTATAAAAAGGTAAATGTTTAAACTTCGATACTCAAAACAATGTGGAAATTGACAAATACACTATATTATTTTGTAATTGTTGAAATAAGGAAACACCTATGTCCCAGTTTTGTTTATGATGAGTACATTTTGTCTGTTATCAATATTTTCCTTTTTTAAAAAGTGATTATTGCCAATCTAATTATATATTATATTCTTCTGTTCTACTTTCTGTGCCTTCTTTTAGACCTTTACAGGGATCTCGATAAATGTTCTAACCAAGGCATTGAGAACTATGGTGTTTCCATAACAACTTTGAATGAGGTGTTCCTGAAATTAGAAGGAAAATCAACACTTGATGAAGCAGGTAAAAAACAAAAAGAATTAATAAAAGAAAGAAAGAAAAGAGAAATTTGAGAAATTTTTCTAAAAATCATTTTTAAAATTCTAAAACAATCTAAGAGCGTCATTCTTCAATAGACTTCTCTTTTTGTGAAATATTTTATCTTGAAATTATGCTTTGAATGAGGAGACAATGTGCATTTGTTGGTGCTACAGTTCAGGCTGGTCTTGGGAAAAATTAAAGCACAGACGAAATTTATCTCTGAGGAATACAGAAATGTACTAGGACCCCATAGAGCAGATGATAAACATACGATGTAATATTACCTGAATATAAGTGCTATAGAGAAATTTTGAGTTTACATTAAGAATTATTTTTCTTTTTTAAATTTTTTCCCTATATTTACATAGTATAATTTTTTTTAACATGGATGAATTGTACAGTGGTGAAGTCAATTTAGTACTCCTGTCACCCAAATAATGTAAATTATACCCACTAATTAATTTTTTAGTCTCTTGCCTACCTCCCATTCTCTGCCTTCTGAGTCTCAAATGTCCATTGTACCACTCTTTATGACCAGCGTATCGATCTCTTATTTCCCACTTATACATGAGAACATGTGGTTATTTCTTTAGCATTCTGAAGATATTATTACAGTGTCTTCAGGATTCGGTTCTTGTTGAACAAACTACTCTCAAGTCTACTTAATAATTCCTTAGAAAGTATTCTTTCTTTATTCTCTTGTTGCTTCTAAGATAATTCTTTGTTTCTGGTTTTTTTTATCATCTTACTATGTACTCTTTACTATGCTCTTTACTTTTATATTTGTAATTTTGGGTATTTTTTTATTGACCCCAAGTGTTCTTACATCCTACTTATACTATTTTATTCATACACTTGAACATGTTAAGTGATTACACTTAACTTTTAATGTACATCTTTTATAGCTTCTTAGAAGTCTACAAATAATCATTTTCTCTAGACTTCTCTTTAAAAGAGGTAAAACTTTTATCTTGTTTTTACCCATACTTTATTAAAAATATTTTCTCTATCATTTTATGTTCTTAGAGGGAAGAGGAGGGGCTTCTATATGTGCTAACTACCGCATCTTGGTCAGGAATACTAAGAGAGTTTATCTTTTTCAGGAAATAGGTTTATGAGTTTCTTTTTATTAATTTTCCTAAAATTAATTAAGTCCTGTAAAGCTGCAGACAGAGGACTTTTAAAATCATAATACACAAGATTTTTTTTTTTTTATATCAATACTTTTTGTTTCTTTCCCATGCCTTCAATCGTTGCTCCAATAGGGCCATGCATTACATTTCTGACTTCTTGACCCAAGATGGTAACCTTTGGTTGAAAAGATAGATGATCACAAGAAAAGCTAAACAAATATTGCTCTTATGTTTTAGATCTAGAAATGTGGGGACAATTACAAAGTGATGGAGCAAAAGACACAGGAGGCCTTGTTGAGCTGGAGCAAGTTTTGTCCTCCCTCAAAGAAACCAAGGAAGCCATCAGTGGCATGGCTCTCTGGAGGCAGCAGGTCTGTGCAATGGCAAAAGTTCGCTTCCTAAAGTTAAAGAATGAAAGAAAAAGCCTGTTGACTCTGTGAGTATCTGAGTGTTTCAGATTTATTTGTTCTGCAAACTCAAAATAAGTTCAACTTATTTAGCTCAAATGAGTTTAAGAGAACAAAAGATAAATTAAAAAGACCCTCAGACAAAATAAATCATAGCAAATGAGTATGGTCTTTCAGACCAATAATTTTTTTATTGAAGAAATAATTTTTAATCATGTCGGTAAACAATTTTTCCTTAATTTCACACTGATTTTGTGAAGCAATTCTTTACAAGTACATGGGTATTAGCGCTTTGGTCCCATACCAAACATACCACTTCCTCTTTCCCAAGATACTGAAATATTCATGTCAGGATTCCCCAGAAAAATGTAACTAATAGGATATATGTACATACAAACTTATTTATGTTAAGGAATCGTTGGAACTGCAATTCTGAAATCTGTAGGGCAGAGCAGGAGGGTGGAAGTCAGTGTTGCAGTTGATGGACTGGAAACTTGGGCAGAATTTCTATGTTACAACTTGAGACAGTGCTTGTGGTCTATGCTTTACCTGCACAGCTCTACCTGGTGCCCACTTTGAGGTTGACACCTCTACAGCTCTAGCCTTGCCATCGAGTACCACCTCCTTGCATAAGCTCAGCTCTCCACTGAGAACACTCAATCATCCAAAAATATCTGTGAGCACCTCTGTGCAACACTCTATTATTAAATGATCATAACATATATCAAGATTTTTTTTCATCTCATAAATCAGACATGACATCTAACCTGGAGGGTGATTAGATAGGTACTAAATAATAGATGGTCTTGTAAAACTATGGCATTTATTAGGAAAAGATTATGTCCAACTAAGGACATCAGAGAAGCAACTCAGGGAGAATTTGGAATTTGATGTAAGAGAATGGAACTTAATTAGTTAAGAAGAGAGAGGAGGATGGAAATCCAGGAAGAGGGAGTAATGCTGAGTATGGTGATACACGAGAAATTGAAAAACTGTTGTTAATCTGAATTAATTGCAACAGAGTGCATTAAAAGTAAAAATAAGTATGTGCATTAATTGTGCTGAAGAGTTTGTGCTTTATGAATGATAAGGAACTTTCATTCTTCATTTTGAACAGGCAATTGACAATTAGAAAAGGATGCCAAGAAGTTTAATTGGGCAATGGTGCGAATTGTTTGGTAACAAGGGGCACTGGAGACAGTAAAAAACAATCATGTAGGACAATATTTAATGAGGTCAGGCAAGAGATGATAAAGGCCCAACTGCAACAGTGAAAGGAAGAAGGAGGGTTGGAGGCAAACAGTAATGATGGTGTGTTTGATAGGAATCTTCAACCATTGGAAAAGAGACTTCGGGGAGAGAAATAGGAGGACAACATTAACTTTTAGAGCCCAACTGAATGAGGAAAATGTTGTAATTTACAGAAATTGAAAATAGGATGGGAAAAGGTTCCATGTATAGTAAATCTGGGTGTTAATGATATGCCAAGAATCATAATCTGCAGATTTCAGAAGCATGAGTGAAATATCCAGGCATCCGACTTGGGACTGAGGTGGTGGGAGACACAGACAGACAGAGACAAAACAAAAGTTAGATATATTGGAAACATTTCATTTTATTTATTTATTTTTTATTAAACCATAGCAGTATACATTAATACTATTATGGGGTACAGTGTACTATTTCTGTATACAATTTGAAATACTTTCATCCAACTGGTTAACATAGCCTTCATGTCTTTTTTCTTAGTTATTGTGTTAAGACAATATTTATATTCTACAATTAGAGAGATTCACATGTACCATTATAGGATGAACCATATTCATTTTAGAAAGAAGAAAATGAAGGAAAAGCAGGGTACAATGTTTGGTTAGGGCTTATAATTTATTCCTGTTGTTATTGTTATCCATTATCTGCTCAAACTTAAAATACCTACAAAAGTTGCTGGAAATTATTTTCTTTCTTTTGTATCTTCCTACATGTAGGTTATTGCTCTTTGGGATCAGTCTTATCCCTTATCTTTTGGAATATATATTCTACGAGTTGTATCTTAAAGGTGACTCTTGGGAGCTCTCTCCAAATATGTACTTCCTCACACCAGGACAACCACCACAAGCTCCTCTGACCCATTTACTGGTCATCAATAAAACAGGTGAGCCCAGGACTGAAATGCAACCTCTAAATGTTGTTCTTGTTAAACAAGTTTCCAGAAAATATAAATATGAAGAAAAAATAAATTCCATATGTTTTAGAAAGCACACATGAAGCCAAACAGAAAATTCATTAAAAAATTAAAAATATGAGGTTGGATAGTTTGTTTTAGGAACACATTCTTCAAGTTTACTTAAACCTCAATGCTTGTCACACCAGGGAATCCCCAGGGATTTAGGAAGGTAAATTATTGACTGACTTTTGAGGTCTTTTCATTTCATTTCATGAGTCTATGCATTGCTGAGCTCTGGAAAAAAATCTTTGCCAAATTTATAAGATAGAAGAATAATAGTTTCATGGATTATAATGTTAATGATAATTAGTATTTTTATACCAGCAGAAATTATAACTAAGGCTTAAGGTAAAGTAACCTTGTCATACTGACAGTGTTGGAATGGATTTTAGTACCATAGCATCAATTCTGCCTTTTTAAGGAAACCCTCAGGCAGTCATTTTTGTGGTATGTTTTGAGTGATGCAATGCAGCTTATTTTTGTTTTTATTACTTGATCATTGTTTTATTTCATTTGTGTTTCCTTTGGTCTTTATCTTCATGATAGGGTCAAGCATCGATAACTTCATACGTTCACTGAGGCAACAGAACATTGCTTTAGAAATGGATGCTTTTGGAACTAGAAATGGCACAGATGAGCCAACATACAACGGTGCTATCATTGTGTCAGGGGATGGAAAGGTAGGTTGGATGCTCCTTGCTGTATTTTACCAAAGATAACCTATGGATGTAAAATTCAAACAATTCACGTCAAGGACATGGGAAGGCTAATTTGACACAAGCAAATGGGATAGCTCTCATTTTCATAGGAGAGGCTGGACTCCAACTACTTGCCCGCAGCCTTCAGTATAACAACATATAATGAATTATTGTTGGCTCTATTCCTCCTTGTGTTGTATGCACTGCTGTAATTAAAAATTCATTTAAATCTTATTATCAGTTGGATTCCATTCCAATAATTAATTTAAATCTTATTCTTAGGTAGCGGTGAGAACAACTTCCTTGTTAAGATTTAGCCTTTGCGTTTCTGTTTGCCCCATGTCCACAGTGCTTCACTCACTGATATCCCTTGCCTAGACCTTGTAGGAGTTTGAACCAGAAAGCAATATAGTAGCCAAGTGGGAAAAGACCACATTCAAGGCACCCATCACAGCTGTAAGGTGCCAGAAAGTGTGACCATTTATAGGTCATCACAGTTCATCTTCAGGAAAAATTGCCACACCAAGAGAGTCAAACATCTCCTTCAATCCAACTAGTCCTCAATGTATTGTAATCAAATTATTTTCCAGTATTCTTAGAAAAATAGTTTTTTTTTTAAATGGCAGCCTTGACATCAATAAATATTGCTTTAGATAACAAGTTAGATATAATATATAATATTTTATTTATGATAATAAAATTATGAAAAGCTTGCCTATATTGGACAATACAGATAATTATCTTACTTACATTCTTTTTCTCTGAGGGAAAAATAATCACATAATATATGCAATGAGTGACAAAAAATGTATACACATTTTGAGAAAAGAAAAAATGGTATGGTATTAAAATTGTAATACTCTAGTCATGTTTGACTTATGCAATTATAAGAAGTGCTCAAATATGACCTGTATTTATCTTTTGTTATGGGTATATCATATTTTCAGTATTACAATTTTCTTTCTTTCTTTCTTTTCTTTTCTTTTCTTTTCTTTTATTTTCTTTCTTTCTCTCTCTCCCTTTCTCTCCCTCCCTCCCTCCCTCCCTTCCTTCCTTCCTTTCTTTCTTCCAACAGAATCTCATTTGGTCACCTTCACCATAGTGCCCTGGTGTCATAGCTCATACATTTTTGTAACCTCAAACTCTTGGGCTCAAGTGATCCTCTTGCCTCAGCCTCCCAGGTAGCTGGGACTACAGCATTGCAGTTTTAATGCCATACCATTTTTCCTTTCTTAAAATGTGTATACACTTTTGGGGCACTATCTGTATGTATAAAATAGGGCATTTAAAAAGAGATTGTATGTGTAAGCTCAGTATTTGCAAAAGCCTCTCCTTTCACTATAACTCCCGCCTGCCTTCTGCTTACTGAGTATGCATCAGTTCTTTACTTAGAAAATGAATGTGTGACATTTAGAAACAACTTGTGCAGCTGTGTTAAAGTGAGGTTGCATTATGGAATTTTGCATTTTTTGCTGCTAGAAACCGTTTTAGGTGTTTTGTTTTGTGACACTTATGCACACACACCACATGGCTGATTCCTTCAAGTATACCGGGCATTAGTCAAATAATATGAGTGATGATGGTATTAATCACATTTATGCTTTGGCCTTACTATGTTATCAATAATTTGAATAATTTGTGTATCATACACATTCATTAAAATTTTGTATTTGCTTTTTGAGAAGTTAGATTTGACATTTGTTGTGTTTCAGGATCACAGATTTTCAATAGCTTGTAATACAAAAAGACTTAATTGCTTTCCTGTCCTCATGGATGTCCTTAGCAATGGGCTGCTTGCCACTTTTAATTCTTCAGAACACATCCGGACTGACTGGTGCACATATTTTTTAGTAAGTACAACTATATCTCACTAATGCTGACCTGTCAGAAGTTTTCAGAAAAGTTCTTGAAATGCTAAAATAGCATCATATTAATTTTTATAAACCTATTCTTAAATAAGTTTATATTTTATGTACAACATATAAGTGTATAATGTGTGTGTGTGTGTATGTATGTATTTATACGCACTACTCAGCAATGGTTAAGTAACATTAGAACCTGATTCAGATGACTGGGAGCAATAGAAAATACAACTAATTGGGAAACAATTATGACTTTTGGCCTAGGATCTGTCACCATCTGTTTTCCCAGGTAGTGGGACGTAGTTGGAACAGTCAGAGTCTTAAAGGCTGGACTATGTGGCCTTGTTAAACAATTTGACTTCTGTAGGTCTGAGTTTACCAGTCCACAAATAATACAGATACAAACTTCATCACAGGAGTTTCTTAAGAAGTAAGTGGGAGGCAATGTGAGCACCAGGCTAAGCTGGCCAAGTTAGTGTGGGGACCAGTGATGAGGTGCGTAGACAGGAAAACCACAGGTGTTTGGGAAATCTCATTTCTTATCATTACTGCTGCCAACATTGTTTTTCTTGGGAATGCATCAAAAGAAGCTTCTATCAAAAAAAAAAAAAATCAGCTTTGACTACATCATGGGGCCAGCTGAGCTAGAAGCAGGAGTGGTTCTTGTCTCAAATGCGATCTCAGATGCTGTGAGCAGAATATCCAGGTGGGGCAGGGCGTGCACATCTGTGTCATCACGTCACCCCTTTCATCTTACTGTGTTGTGCTTCCCTTTTTTGGTTTAAATGACACCTTGGGCACACTCTATGGCTTCTCCATCACTCTCTGTAGCTTCATTAGGAATTATTCCAGCACAGTCCAAAACTTCAATTTCCTATCAAATTCCAACACTGCAGGGTCAACTTGTGACCTAAGTGACAAAGCAGGGTGGAGGTGGGCTGATTTGCTTCTTATTTTCCTTTATGGTCTGACACCTTGTCATAGAAAACGGAGCGTATGGGGCATGTTCCAGCTCTGAAACTCCCCCCTTTCTTTCCCATCTGAGTAAAACACTGCTGGTGCTGGAGGCAGAGAAGGGTGGGAGGTGGAGGTCACCCTGTGGTGATGGTACTGGGAGACATCTGTGTTTTCTCTAGTTATATCCACTCTGGTGCCCTTTACTTACATGGTCATCACAGCCCAGGTGACCCGTGTGAGTGTCCTGACCCCAGTCCCTCTTGGGGATGAGGGCACACTCAGGGTGGGAGGGCAGAGTTCCTCAGGCTGCTGCAGAGAGGCCCACAGCATCAAGCTTCCTCCAGCCTACATTGCTCATTTTCCACATGGCCGTCGTCCAGGGCGTTCCATGGTTTCTGCCCTTGCGTTAATCTCTGTGCTTCTTCAGAAAGAGCTACAAGAACTGCTGAGTGTTTCTCGGGGGCTGTCTGCAGGCCGCAGAGTTTGGGGGGCACAAAGGGGGTTGGCACATCTTCTCCAAAGCACATCATACCTCTGTCCTTTCAAACCACATTTCAGCAGTCCTCCTTCCTCCAGAGATCTCTAGGGCAAAACCCAGTATTTACTGTGAGAGTTGTATGTATTAGCATATTTAAATGCCCAAACAAGATATTCACTTAGTTGTTATTCTTATTATAGTCTGTATATCCTTTATTCAAAGTACTTAGCACTAGAAGTATTTTAAATGCTGGACATTCTCAGATTCTGGAATACTTACATGTACCTAATGAGATTTCTTGGGGATAGGAGCCAAGTCCAAACACAAAATTCATTTGTATTTTATATATACCTTATATACATAGCCTGCAGATGATCTTATACAGTATTTTTAATAAAATATTTTAATAAATTGTGTGTTGTACACCTGCCATTGGACTACAGCCCGTGTTGGTGCTCAAAAAATTTTGGATTTTGGAGCATTTCAGATTTGGGGTTTTCAGTTGAGGGATGCTCAATCTCTGTTATTATTATCAGACAGCTGAGGAAACTATAGCACCCAGAGGAGCCAAATGTGTTTTATTATCTATTATATGCAAGAGGACTGGTCAGTAATTTGGATAACCAAGAATAGGACCTTCCCAAGAATGAGCAAGTAACCTGAGTTTCTGTCTTTAGAGGTGCCTCACCTACAAAATATTTGCTACCCAGCAACCCAGCTGACCTTGAGCTCAGATGTAGATAAATTCTGTCTTTGAGTTGCCACTGCTGGGTTCCCTACCCAGGACCTGGTACTCTCTTGCAATTCTGCAAGCCTCTTCTACTTGAACCTGCAGTACAGGGCTCACTTTAGCCCAGACTTTACTCAAGGATTTTCATCATCTGTCAGAGTGTCCTAAAATGCTCTCACCTGGTCACTCCATGTTATAGCCACTCATCTCATATTTGCTTGTGGACACCTGACTAAACTGCCCAGTTGGTACTGAGTGTCTTTCTGTGGGTCTCTTTCAGGCTGAGTCGTGTCAGACTCCAACTGTGGGTGGATAACATTTAATATAGATGTAATATATTGTCTATGAGCCATGAGTAAGGGGGTTAGCGTTAGGAAGGATTGTGCATTTTCCATTCCTAGAGATCTTACAAATCAGGAAAATCAACAGTGGTGTCCTCAAGCAAGATGTGAGATGGGTGATGTAGTTGTTGATGTCCTTTACTCCTCTTCAGAGCCTTAGTCGTCTATGTCTTTATTCAACAATTTTCATATGCTGTAAGATCTCAGAGGGGTGCCAGGTTTTAGGAAGAGGTACAAGTCAGGAGAAGTAAGGAGACTGAAAAACTCATGATAGAAGTGACTTGCAAGATAGTGGAACAACTTGTCACAAGAGCAAATCAAGGCTTGATGCAAAACTCAAGGTCCTCTGTAACATGTGCAAGGTTTTCATTTTTATTTTTAATTCAATCCCTTGATGCAGATCACAAGTTGACCATTTTTCTCTAAGCCCCATTACTCCTTTTTTCTAACATCTTCTTATTCATTCATTAATGTAATAATTTGTTCAAGTACCCTGAAAGCACTTGAATTCTAAACCAGGGGAATGAGTCTTCATGGATGTCAAACTTGACTGATTTGGCACCAATCTCTGAAGGTGGGATAGATCTCCAGCCACAGTTGACACTCTCTGCTGTCTGATGAAACGTTAGCCCTGCTGTACATAGCAGTGCATGCAATATTGTAACCAGAAAGCCAGAGAGTGGAGATTGCCTACCTACCTCACACATTAACTGTGGGAACTTTGCCAATTCTTGTCACTTTGTTGAGTTTGCTTCTTCTTAAGTAAATCAGGATACTCTCTGGAAATGTCCAAGTTGCTGCAATGTAGGACTGAAAATGCAGACGGGTAAGAAGTTACACATAGGAGCTCAGGAAGTGCTTTGGGTGGTGATCTCAGTTCATTTGAGTAATTGAGTTAAGAAAGTACCAATGAAGTGGATACCCAGTGGCCATCAGCTCACCACATTCTATTTAATTTCAGAAGGATGCTGGGTATGCCTATATGACTCATGCCTTCTTCTGGATCCCCATGGCAGCCTGTTTCTCCCCGTACATTGCAACGAGCAGCATCACTGACCACAATGTAAGAAGCATTAATAAAGTCTTCATACGTTTTCAATGTCCCTCCTCCACCCTAGGGCCATAAATTGACATGCGGGTGGTAGAGCTCATTTTTGCGCTTGATCCAGTAAATAATCAAGCACTTTAATAATAAATTGCTAGATATGAAGGAAATACTATTTTTCTTAAACAAATGTGGGGCCTCAGGAAGGGCAGCCTAGTAGATCTCACCTGCTTTTAACTGTGAGAGAGAGAATGGCAGCTTTTACCTGTGTAGCCCTCAGTATTTTATTTATGGGCACTCGGCCACTGACATAATCACCTTCCACCTCCCAGAGGTGGTTTCCACATTCCAGATGGTGGGAAGGCTGCACTGTTTAGCAGCCCAGACCAACACACTGCAGTATTTTGAGTTATTGCTAGGAAAAAAATTATTGCTATAAAGCTTTATTTTTTAATGTAAAATTCAAGAAGTCCATAACTGACTCTTTCTGCCTCTCTTTGGTACTTCTGATGCCACTGTCCCACGTCTCTGAGTCCTGGACATCATCAGCTGACATGCTGGAGATGTTTTTGAAGGGGTGAATTCATTTTTATTTATTTTGCTCTTTAACTGTCCCCATCTTCAGCAAATTCTTTCATAAGAAACACAAAATAATATTCTTCCTTTACTTTTATGAGACCACACATTCACCATTTTCTTCCTACAGCTATTGTGACTTTTTCTCATTGTTCTGAGTTAAATCCTGAATCTCCCATTATCAGGCTGTGTGAACACTAAAAGTTGGTTAATCCCTCTGTGCCTCATTTTAATCACCTACACAGTAGACATAATAGTTTCACCTCCTAGCAATGGGTTTCTGTGCGGCTGTGGTGGAACAGCACCTGGGAATCACCTGGAGCCATCCTTGGTGTACGGTAACCTCCCCACAGATGCTGGTGCTTGATGCCCAGGTGTCCAGGGTTTGGTCCTAGGCCGTCTCCATTCTCCACACAGTGACAGAGTAACGTCTTAGCAGCACAGAGCTGACAGTGTGGGCTCCCTGCCTAAATCCCTTTAGGGGCTTCTTAGCATGTGAAGGAGCAGGAACGAAATCCCTGTTGTGGCCTGAAAACACACAGATGATCTGCACCGGGTGTGTCTCCACCTTGATCTGATGCCACTGTCACCTTGGTAACCATCCTGCAGCCACACTCATTTCTTCCCATTTTCCCCAAAACATCAACCTCTCCCCGCTGAAGGTCCTTCTCTCCTGCTGCCCTCTCTTCCTGTCACCTGGACGATTCCTATCCATGCCCAGACCCCATCTCATACACCCCTTCACAGGGACCCTTCTCTGACCTGACCCCCTAATGACAATCCATTTCCCTTTGAAAGGTTCTCAGATGACTCTGAACCCTTCTTAACACTTACATAATTTTAATTATGTAGCTATCACTATATTTATTTGCTTACTGTCTTTATTCCACTCAGTAAGTGCCCCAGGACCAACACAAAGCCAGCCACATATATACATATTATGTATTACATCAATTAATGAATAGCAAACATCACACTGTCTAACAGGTCTGCTCTGTCATCCTCTTCTCTGCCTCCTTTCGGATGTGCTCTCCTTTCCAGAGTATTTGTCTGACTTAAAACTTTTATTTCCTAGTAAATCTCTTTATATAAACTCAATTTTAGATTTTAAAAGTAATTGCCTTTCCACTTAAAGTAGTCCAGGTTATATTTTAAGACTTTGAGTTATGACAATCAGTGTAACAATACCGGTTACAATATCAAAATACATATACCAGTTTTCATAACATCACAGTAAGGAGTATGATTTCCTTCAAGACAATGAGAATAGTGCAATAATTTAGAGGTTTTGGTAATGCTAACCCAAAAAGATTTTTAAAAAATAAAATTGCCTAGTTATATGACCATTTCTTCGACCCAAAATAAAATGCCAATTATAAATGAACTGTTCATATTTAGCAGAAGTTTTAAGAATCTTACAAGAAATGGTGAACTTATTTCTGTAGAACCTTGTGTGATTTGCCATCTTCACATCAAAGGTAAGTTTAGCCTTGGAAAGAAAAGAACGAATGTCTTTACTGACACAATGCCCCGTTATCCTATGATGAAACGTTAGTTATTTTGGTGCATTTTCTCTTTAGACAATGAAGTCATGACAAGATTTGTAATATTATTAATGCCTCTGAACAGGCATGTGGCACATGGCAGTGTCATGTACTAAATCGGAATAAGATTTGTAAAAGGTATATGGCAAAAATGAATGCTTTAATGATGATACATCTGCAATTGCCCAAACTTTTCAGAACACTTTGGTGCTTTTTCCAGATAAAAGCTCATTCCCAGCTGCGGGTTTCGGGCCTCTATGCCTCTGCTTACTGGTGTGGACAGGCGCTGGTGGACGTTCTCCTGTACTTCCTGATCCTCCTTGTAATGCACACAATAGATTTCATCTCTAACCCAGAAGAGTTTACATTTATAATTCAAAACATGTTAATTCATGTAAGTGGAAAAAATTAAAAAGTGATTTTATTAGATTATTTTTTCATGAACACGGTAATGTTATTGATCTTAAATCAAAGAACTTCAAATTACCTCAGCTATAGCACAGTTTAGGACAGTTGAAGGGTGAGTATGAATACTTTTCTAAATGGTATTAACCTTATCCAATCTTAATGTTTCTGTTTTCAGATCCTATGTGACATTGGCTATGCCTCATCTCTTGTTTTCTTGACATATGTGATTTCATTCATTTTTTGCAATGGGAAAAAAAATAGTGGCATTTGGTCATTCTTCTTCTTAATTGTAAGTTTGCATATCATACATATTATTATATTTTAAAACCACTTTTGAGTAAATTTTAGAACTTATTTTAACATTTGTATACTAAGGAGAATGGAAGATTGCTATTACTCTCCCAAATTTCTAATTACTCTAAGATAATCATATGTATATCAAAAATCTACTGTGTGTGGGTGTGTGAGCACATCTCCGGGTCTCTCCTCTCCCCTGAGCTAGAGATGTATACTCTCAATTCACTTACAACTGCGCTATACCAGAATCATTCATTCATTTTCATTGCCATGGTATTCTATTCATGGAGATGCTATGATTTATTTATTCATTATTTAAGAAATGTCTTGTTTTTAACTGGTAGAAATAATGCTTTCATAACCTTTTCTGTATGTATTTTGGTGAAAATATATATAAGCACTTTGAGGTATAAACCTAGCAATGGAATTTTTATGTCATAAAGTATTCAACTTTATGTTCAGCTTTAGTAGATATTGCCAGTTTTTCAAAGTGGTGGTACCTCCAGCAGGGTAAGAGAATCCTAATGGATTATCTGAGGGATGGTTTGAATCTGCCCAGATTTGGAAGAATGTAAAATAAAACACAATGAGTAAAAGCAAGTTATAAAATAAGAAAAGATATCAATTTTTTAATTTGAGTTAAAAAATTAAAATTCAGCTCTATATTGTTTATGATACATCTAAATTATCAGCAATGACTTAACAGGCATTTTTTTAAAAAAATAAGAAAATTATAAATGGCTACACAAATAACAGTGAAAGTTGAATTCAAGACCTAAACTCTTAAATATGGAAAAAGCATATATTGACAAACTATAAATTCCATGAAGAAGATGGAAGGTTCACATTCTATTTTGTTTAGTAAATAACACACAACAAAATACATAACACAATCATCTCTAAAAATACAAGTGGAACTTAATCACTTGTTTGAGATCTGAAAAATCATGTAGGAAAAAATGAATCAGCATGTAGAGACTTAAACACTACGCAAATTTGATTTGATTTGATGTGCGGACAGAGACATCTTTGCTAGTAGAGCAAGGTAGAAAATAAAGAAAACTGAAGTAGAGATGTGGTGGCCAAGGAGGGAAGTCACTGACATAGAGTGGCAACTAACTCCACTTCCACCCCTGAGAAGCAGTTTTAATGAGGAAAGTTAGTTGATAAAATACTGACAATTAGCTCTGAAAAGAAGTATTAGAGTGCCTGAGTTGCCATCCTAGGCAAAGGTAGACAAAATCCCTTAGGAGGAGAATGCCTTGCCTAGAGAGAGGGATGCTAAGTCTTGCTATTTGACAGGACTCTGAACCGGAGTGTGGGCCAAGGAACAAGAGTGTGCACACCCCTTGGCAGTGAGATGTGCTGCCTATTAACTAGGTAAAGTGAAAAGTGAATCAAAACATTGGACAGCACACTGTACCCCATGATTGCATTAATGTACACAGCTATGATTTAATTAAAAAAAAAAAAGGAAAAAAACACTGGACACGACTAACCACATAAAGCCAGAAGTCTCATCCAGCCCAGGGTTCAAAGGTGTTGATGGAAAACTATACCTGACATCAAAATATCACTCAAAAGAAAAGATAAGTAAATGATGGCTAAGAAAGCAAAGGTGTTCAAGAGAAATCATGAATCTATTTGAGCAAATAGAAGGTCTCAGTAGAGCTGCATATGCCAGATACGTTCAACCTAAAAGGATCATCCATGACAACTCTCAAACACACAAGGCAACATAAAATATCCAAAGTTAGAGGAGTACTAATGACAAAGAAGCAAACACAGTAGTCAAAAGAGATGTGGAGCAAATTAATCTCCACTAGAGCTTTTTTCTATAGTTTTGAAAACCAGCATGAATTTAGTAAGACAAAAGCTCAGTTTCATGATGACAAAACACCTTAAATGGGGGCAGCATCTGTGGCTCAAGGAGTCCAGAAGTGGTGGTTTCAAACCTGGCCCTGGCCAAAAACTGCAAAAAACAAACAAACAAACAACAAAAAAAAAAAACCTTAAATGGAAAAAAGAGATTTCAGAGCTGCATAAGCACACTAATCATCAGTATAATTTCTGAAATAATTATGAATTCTAAAAAATGGCTAAATATCTAATTATAGATATGAAATAAAGAATTAAGATAATCCCCATGAAATCCAAAACATAAATGCAAAAATAAAGCCAATCCAAGAAAATAATGATCAATTTTAACATAGTGAGACAATTAGGGATATATATATTATATAATTCTTTAAATGTAATTTAATTCTATATATGAAATTATAATAGAGAAAATATCCTCTAAATTAAGAAAAACTCCTATAGAATGATCAATACTCATTAAGATAAGAAACTTTGAAATAAAGTCATCCAAGAAGTAAATAGATATCAAGCATGAAAGAGAAAATTTCAACTTTTGAGATTTATTTCTTACAGTTCTGCATGTCAGCTATCATAAGCCTGTGGAAGGCAAATGAAATGCCCCTCTGAAATTAAATGTACCCAGGTTGTAGTTCTAGGAAAGATTAGATTTAACTGAAATATGAACTCTGGAAATGAAGCTTTACAAAGCCCCCTTAAAAAAATCACCCCATCTACTCAAAAACCTACATATGGATGTTTATAGCAGCTTTATTCATGATTGCCAAAACTTGGAGCAACCAAGATGCCCAAGATAATGAATGGATGCTGTACATCCAGACAAGGGAATATTACTGAGCACTAAGAAGAAATGGACTACAAAGTCATGAGAAGACAATGGAGAAAACCTGAGTGCATGGGAACAAGTGACAGAAGCCAGTCTGGAAAGCCTGCTACACACTGCATGGTCCCAACCACATGCCAGTCTGGAGAAGGCAAAACTATGGAGACAGTCAGTGGTTTCCAGAGGCTGGGGGAGAGAGGGACTTTTAGGGCAGAGAAACTGCTCTGTATGACACTAGAATGGTGGATACACATCATTATACATTTGTCCAAACCCACAGAATGTACAAGAGTAACAGAGTCTAAGGTACACTCTGGACCATGTGTCAACAAGTTCTTTAACTGTACCCACTGCTGCCCTCTGGTGTAGGATGTTTATAACCAGGAGCCTGTGCATGTGTAGGGGTGGGGGCAGGAGGGACGTTCTGTACTTTCCACTCAATTTTGCTATGAAGCGAAAATTGCTCCAAAATAATGCACATTTGACCAAAAAAAAAAAAAAAAAAGGAGAAGAAGAAAAAGAAAAAAATCACTCAGGAATAAATATAGCTCCATGAAAGGTGAACCACTTGAGATTAAAATGAAAAAATCATCACATTGTACCCCATAAATGCACTAATGTGCATAGTTAGGATTTAATAAAAAAATGAATAAATAAAAATAAATCCATTTAAGAAATAAAATAAGGAATTTAAGAAAATAAAATTTGTTGTAAAAGCACTGGTAGGAGCCACAGAATTCAGTTAAATATTTATGAAGATTAAATAACTTTGGGATTCATGGTTAAAGTATACTTAAATATTTAAATGGAAAATATTTGTAAAATTGAGTATTTATTTTTATAATCAGGCATAACTTTAATAATAAAACCTAAGAAAGCTTTAAAAAGAGCTCATTTAGGGGCGGCACCTGTGGTTCAGTGGGTAGGGCACTGGACCCATGTGCCAAGGGTAGCGGGTGCGAACCCAGCCCTGGCCAAACTGCAACAAGGAAATAGCTGGGCATTGTGACGGGCACCTGTAGTCCCAGCTACTCAGGAGGCTGAGGCAAGAGAATCGCCTAAGCCCAGGAGTTGGAGGTTACTGTGAGCTGTGTGACACCATGGCACTCTACTGAGAGCAATAAAGTGAGGTTCTGTCTCTACCAAAAAAAAAAAAAAAAAAAAGAGCCCATTGATAAATTCACTTGGAAAAATTAAAGACAACTCTTTAAAAAGAAAAAGGATAGCTGAGCAAACACGGAAATAAACTAAAAGAACAATAATAAAAAGTAGTCAGGTGTGAGTTATTACAGCATGTAATGATGGGTTTCTTTTAGAAGCTATCAGACTCAAAGAGGAAACATTCATGGGTCAAGAAAATGCCACATAGTTCCTTAAAAATGCCTAATAAAAGAAAATATGAATAAAGGAAGGACAAATGACCAACACCCAATGGTAAACATCATATTAAATGATAAATGGTAAAATTCTAAGATTCTTTACCTACTGTCAGCAAGGACACTTACTGTCATTAATTATGACATCCTGTGTCAGTGAGGCATGCAGAGTGGTCACTCTAATTCACCTAACTTACTATTTGGAAGACGAAGGATGTTTATGGTCTATTGCAGAATGAAAAAAGAAAAATGCAGAATAACAGGTAATAATATCTTCATCTAAATCTGGATTTTGGCAAGAACTCCACCTTATTCATAAGGTCATTGAATTTGAGAAGCACTGTTGAGTCTTTTAAAACACTCGTAATCAATCAGATACAAAATAGTAGCACAACCCCATGTTGCAAAGAAAGAGAAATGATGGCAGTACTAACCTGGGGGGTGACATTGAAATAGGAAAATCTGAAAGACCAATTTCTACCCTCTCAGAAACATTCTAAAATTCAGATCATTACAATTTAGTGACACTGTGTTATGCTTTTATCTTAGGTCACCATCTTTACCACATTTGCTGTTGAAATAAATATGTATGAGTTTCTATGGCTATTTCTCAGCACCATATTAATACCACAGTACACATTGATTGGCTCTTTATTAATTTTTTCTGCGGTAAGTAGTTCTATACCTGTCCTACAGTCATGAAAAAGCCTTTTGAGAAAGCCTTGAATATTGAAAAAAGGTAGATAGACTCCTCAACTGTGCAAAGTGTACAAGTTTCTGTTTTTGGAAAGCCAATTATCTTGCCACAGGCAAGAGGCATGTTCTCATTCTGAAAGAAGCCCTGTCTTGGTTTATGAAGGTCTAAGGCAACTCAAGGGAGTAGAATTTTATAGCTCTCATGACAATGCTCTCTCCTGGGAACTTTGATCGTGAGGCTGAAGAGATTCCCCCTTTGTGTTAAGTTCTGGGCCTGTTAGATTTAAGACTCCTGACAGACATGCAAAGAAAGATGTCCAGTAGCCACTCAGGTGTACAAGTCTGGAATTCAATGTATCTGGGTGTGTGGATATTGGAATTGAAGCTAAATACTCGAGATCCATCAGTTTATAGATGGTATTAAAGGCCCTAGCACTGGATTATATGACCTACATGGAGAGTACAGATAGAAATGAAAAGAGGGGCAAGGACTTGACCTTGAACTTGAAAATTCAGAGGTTAGGAAGAGATGGATCCAGTAAATCAGTTTGAGATGGAGCTAGGGGGACAGGAGAGCAGAAATGGCAGACTCCTGTGGGCCAGAATCTCTGCTCAGAAACTCCCCAAACACTTAAGTATCCGTATGTAAGAGTGTGTGGCTGAAGGGAGTAAGGAATGCTTTGGGAAGGACGGCGTGATAAATTATCAGTGCTGCGGAGAGGTCTAGAAAGATGCCAGCTGACTACATGGAGGTCACTGGTCATCTTAACGAGGCTTATTTTAATGAAAGCATCAATTTAAAAAGTCCAGTAAGAGTAAGTTTAGTAGCAAACGTGAGGTGAGGAAGTGGTGACAGTGGGTATAGGGAAGTACAGGGTGGCCATAAAGTCCATGTGCAATTGGAACCGGTGCACAATTTAAATGGCCACCCTGCATTTCCAGGAATTTTGCCAAAAAGAGCAGCAGAAAAATGCGAGAGCTGCTGAATGGGGAGGGTAGGTTTGGTCTGTTTGTGCTGAGAAAGTAGATACACTGTGCTGATCTGAGGGAAAGGGGAGATAGGGGCACCTCAGGAGTCACGTCCTTGAATAGCTGGGAAAAATTGTGCATCCAGCGCAGAAGCTGAGGGGTCCTGCCCACAGAAGTGGGAACTCTCCACGTGCTGAACGGGAAACCATGATCAGAGTAAATGAGCACAGAGGCAGGGAGTTGGTGTTTTTGCTGGCAGAAAAATGAGCCGATTCTTCTCTACCTGATTTTACCTCCGAGGGAAATAAGAGGTGAAGTCATCAACTGATGGTAGTAGAGGAGTCTTGGGATTCTGAGAGTTAAAGATGTGGAAAGTATTTGATGCTGTCAGCAGGATCGACAGGCAGTGCTCAAGTCCCTGTGCCCCACTTTTCAAGTGAAGTCAGCAAAGCTGGGAGGTCTTACTGTGTCTGCTTCTC